ATTAAAATGACCTCCTTGTTGTCTCTCCTCTCTCACTTCTCTTTCCCTTCTCTCCTTCTGCTTCCGTTTAGCTGTAAACCACAAGAAAGCCTTCTCCTTTTCATAATTCTTCATGCTTAGTTTTCTTATTTCGAAAAGAAAAAGGGAAGGGAGAGATAAGGGAGAGGGGATGGATTAAGAAGAGCGCCATCTTCTTTGCAACTTGTTTTGTCTCTCCCTCTCCTTTATTCATCTCTCTTCCATTCTTTTCTTGGCTCTTCCCCTTAAAATTGTGTTCCTTTCATCGCTCCTCTCTCCTTCTCTTCCCCTTCTCTTCTCCTGTTCCCCTTTATATGACAAAAACACAAGAAAGGAAGAACAAGAGGGGAATGGAGGCCCTTTCCCTGTCTTCTCCTGTTGCAATGAATAAGGAAAAGAGCATAGGAGGTAAGGAAGGGAATTGAAGAGTAAATGGGCGATGGAACGGGTGTTCTTTTTGATAGTTTTCTGCATCTTCAAGGGAGAAAAAAGGACATCCCCCAAGGAGGAAAAGTAACATAAGAGATAGGGAGGAAAATTGAAGAGCTACTCTCTTTACCTAGTCATTCCCTGTCCTCTCTTCTCATCTGTTGTTTTTCTTATTCGCTTCAAAAAGCCAAATAAGGGAAAGGCGATTTCCTGAAGAGGAAGAAGGGCGCCTATCTATCTGTGAATAGCAAGATTGGTTTTTTTAAAATTAGGGAGAGACAAGGGAGATATATAAAGCTTTGCGACAAGTTTTGTCACTCCGTCTCCTTGCTTCCTGTCTGTTCTATTCCTTGCAGAGATAAGGGAGAGAGGATAGATAAAGAAGAGTGCCATCTTCTTTGCGCCTTGTTTTGTCTCTCCCTCTCCTTTATTCATCTCTCTTCCATTCTTTTCTTGGCTCTTCCCCTTAAAATTGTCTTCCTTTCATCGCTCCTCTCTCCTTCTCTTCCCCTTCTCTTCTCCTGTTCCCCTTTATATGACAAAAACACAAGAAAGGAAGAACAAGAAGGGAATGGAGGCCCTTTCCCTGTCTTCTCCTCTTGCAACGAATAAGGAAAAGAGCATAAGAGATAAGGAAGGGAATTGAAGAGTATATGGGCGATGGAACGGGTGTTCTGTTTGATAGTTTTCTGCATCTTCAAGGGAGAAGAAAGGACATCCCCCAAGGAGGAAAAGTAACATAAGAGATAGGGAGGAAAATTGAAGAGCTCCTCTCTTTACCTAGTCATTCCCTGTCCTCTCTTCTTATCTCTTGTTTTTCTTATTCGCTTCAAAAAGCCAAATAAAGGAAAGGCGATTTCCTGAAGAGGAAGAAGGGCGCCTATCTATCTGTGAATAGCAAGATTGGTTTTTTCTAATTAGGGAGAGACAAGGGAGATATATAAAGCTTTGCGACAAGTTTTGTCACTCCGTCTCCTTGCTTCCTGTCTGTTCTATTCCTTGCAGAGATAAGGGAGAGAGGATAGATAAAGAAGAGTGCCATCTTCTTTGCGCCTTGTTTTGTCTCTCCCTCTCCTTTATTCATCTCTCTTCTATTCTTTTCTTGGCTCTTCCCATTAAAATTGTGTTCTTTTTATCTCTCCTCGCTCCTTCTCTTTCCCTTCTCTTCTCCTGTTCCCCCTGAAATGACAAAAACGCAAGAAAGGAAGAACAAGAGGGGAATGGAGGCCCTGTTCTTTTCACAATGGATGGGGCAAGTGAGCGGGGTTGGCTCCTTGTCCGTAGACCCTCCCCATGCTTCAGCAAATCCTTCCTCTCGCCCTATCGCCTCTGTTCTTTTCCTTGTTCCCAAACGGAAAAAGTGAACGGGTTCCTGAAGACGAGAGAGGGCGCCTTTTTTTTCATTATAGAGGGAAAAGGGAAAGACAAGCAAGGGAGAGATGATAGATAAAGATCAGTGCCATCCGTCTCCTTGTTTCTTGTCTTTTCTCTTCTTTTCAATACCCTTCCAGAAAATTTAAATGACCTCCTTGTTGTCTCTCCTCTCTCACTTCTCTTTCCTTTCTCTCCTTCTGTTTCCGTTTAGCTGATAAACCACAAGAAAGGAACTTGTATGATAAGGGCAGTGGGAGGGTAAGCAGAGGGTGACTCCTTGCGTGTGGACCTTGCCATACTTCATCATATCACTCTTTTCGGCCTATCTCTTCTGCTCTTTTCCTTACCCTTCTCCTTTTCATAATTCTTCCTGCTTAGTTTTTCTTATTTCGAAAAGAAAAAGGGAAGGGAGAGATAAGGGAGAGGGGATGGATTAAGAAGAGCGCCATCTTCTTTGCAACTTGTTTTGTCTCTCCCTCTCCTTTATTCATCTCTCTTCCATTCTTTTCTTGGCTCTTCCCATTAAAAGTGTGTTCCTTTCATCGCTCCTCTCTCCTTCTCTTTCTCCTGTTCCCCTTTATATGACAAAAACACGAGAAAGGAAGAACAAGAGGGGAATGGAGGCCCTTTTCCTGTCTTCTCCTGTTGCAATGACTGAAGAAAAAAGCATAGGAGATAAGGAAGGGAGTTGAAGAGTAAATGGGCGATGGAACGGGTGTTCCGTTTGATAGTTTTCTGCATCTTCAAGGGAGAAAAAAAGGACATCCCCCAAGAAGGAAAAGTAACGCACAATTGAAGAGCCCCTCTCTTTACCTAGTCATTCCCTGTCCTCTTATCTGTTGTTTTTCTTATTCGCTTCAAAAAGCAAAATTTGGGAAAGGCGATTTCCTGAAGTGGAAGAAGGGCACTTATCTATCTGCGAAGAGCAAGATTGGTCTTTTTCTAATTAGGGAGAGACTTGCCCCGCCTGAGCCTCCCTGGCCTGCTTGTTGTGGCCACATTCCGCTACAGTTGCCCCGCCTGAGCCTCCCTGGCCTGCTTGTTGTGGCCACATTCCGGTACAGTTGCGCTTCCAGAAAAATGCCGTCCAAGTCATCTCTCCTCTCTCACTTCCCTTTCCCTTTTCTCCTTCTGTTTCCTTTCAACTGATACAGCGCAAGAAAGGAACTTGTATGATAAGGCAGTGGAAGGGTAAGCAGAGGGTGACTCCTGGCGCGTGGACCTTGCCATACTTCATCATACCCCTCCTATCGGCCTATCCTTTCCGTCCCCTTCTCCTTCTCATAGTTCTTCCTTTTTGTTTTCTTATTTCGAAAAGAAAGAGGGCAGGGAGAGATAAGGGGGAGAGGATAGATAAAGAAGAGTGCCATCTTCTCTGCGCCTTATTTTGTCTCTCCCTCTCCTTTATTCATCTCTCTTCTATTCTTTTCTTTGCTCTTCCCAGTACAAATGCAATCCTTGTTGTCTCTCCTCTCTTCTTCTCTCTCCCTTCTCTTCTCCTGTTCCCCTTGATATGACAAAAACACAAGAAAGGAAGAACAAGAGGGGAATGGAGGCCCTGTTCCTTTCTTTTCCTGTTTCAATGGATGGGGAAACTGAGCGGGGTTGGCTCCTTGTCCGTAGACCCTCCCCATGCTTCAGCAAATCCCTCCTCTCGCCCTATCGCCTCTGTTCTTTCCTTGTTCCCAAATGGAAAAAGAAAACGGGTTCCTTTGCATGTTCATTGTTCTTCCTTTTGTTTTCTATTTGACAGGGAAAAGAACAAGAGAAGAAAGATGAAAACGAGCACCATCTTCTCTTAGCCTGATTTTGCACCTCCCTCTCCTGTCTTCATTTCTCTTCCATTCTTTTCATTGCTCTTCCCATTAAAATTGCATTCCTTTTGATCTCTCCTCTCTCCTTTCTCTCTCCCTTCCCGTCTCCTGTTCTCTTTGAATTTCAAAAACACACAAAAGGAAGCTTCTTTTCCTTATTGAATGAAAAAGAAAAAGAAGAAAAGAGATAGGGAAAGACACTGAAGAGCTCCACTGCCTATTGTTTCATTCCCTTTCCTCTCTTTCTATGTGTTGTTTTCCTTGTCGTTTCAGAAAGCAAGCAAAATACGGGCAAGGGGGCTTCCTGAAGAGGAGAGAGATCTGCGAAGACCAAAAAAAGTCTTGTCTTTTGAATTATAGAGGGAAACGGGAGAGGCAAGGAAGGGAGAGATGATAGATAAAGAAGAGTGCCATCCGTCTCCTTGTTTCTTGTCTTTTCTTTTCAATACCCTTCCAGAAAATTAAAATGGCCTCCTTGTTGTCTCTCCTCTCTCACTTCTCTTTCCCTTCTGCCGCAGCCAAACAGCGACTTTTTCACGCAGGCTGAAAAAAGAACACGCATACACAGACAGCAAAGAGAAACAAACGAAAATAAGAATAACCAGAAATTCGCAGTTCGTAATGGCGTGCGGCTAGGCCTAGAACCGCTGGGCATGAGATTTGCGTGCCATATGTAGGTGTAAATATGTATTTTTGTATTACGATGTTTATATTCGCTCTTTTAAAGCAATAAGAAAAACCCAAAGCTAAATAGACCCTAAAGGCGGCGGGCTCACATATATATATATATGTACATATGTACATTCTGATGTATGTATGGTCCCCCCCCCCCTTCCCAACCCCCATCGTATCCCCCCCCCCTATCCTTGGATCCCTACCCCGACGCGCCCCCCCCCCCCCTATAGTGTGGTTGGGGCTTGGGGTTTAGGGTTTAAGGTTTAGGGCCTACCCTGTGGTATGGGTTTGGTTGGGGGGGTTAGGGTAGTTTAGTGTTTAAATTTTAGGGTTTAGGGCTTAGGGTTCGGGCGCCTGTGCTACCACCCCCCCCCCCCCCTGTGGTGTGGGTGTGGTTGGGAGTTAGGGTTGGGTTTAGGGTTTACACCCGAAACCCTAAACCATCGGTTTCTTGCTAGCATCCTGCCAGGTGCCATTCACCGGCCAGCCCGAGACACTGCCGAAGGGAAGGCATACGGTTGTCGAATATCATGCATACCGCATTGATGCTTGTACTTTCGGCTGAAGAAGATGTACTATTGTATTGCGCCTTGACTCATTTTCCGAACAAGGACAACCAAGCCACTCAGCGTTGCAAGCAAGAGTCCGAGATGCTGACGTAGACACCCGAGATGTCCAGGCGCTGCAGGTTCACCATAGGCCCAAGGACAAGCTGCGTGAGAAGCTGGATTGCTTCACCTCCCATGCCGAGCAGAACTTCAGAGGCCCCAAAAACTCCAAGAAACATCTTGCCCCACTCAGGCCCCTCAGGATGGTGCGACCAATTTGGATGCACTTGTCTAGGTGGAGAGCCGCCACCATGTCCTGGCAAGCTTGCTATGCTCATGGTTTGATCTGCGGGCACGGAAAGTGTGGGTTTTTGCTGGCCAGGATGTTGTCTGCAAAAGATGCTCCGGAAGATCTCCCAAGGCCGAGGTGTCAGTGTAGTACACCCACCCATACACTCTAAACCTCGACGTAGATCCTAAACCAGCTCAGTGACCTGCCTCAATCCTAAACCACAGCTTTCGTCAGCAGCCTGTAGCTGAGCTATAACGGGTATGCTGACCGTATCCTGATCTTGTCCGTGGCTGAGGATTTCAAGAAACGTCAAGCCTTAGGGCTTAGGGCTTACAGTACTTACAGTTTGGGAATGAAGAAGTGCCAAGTAGCTGCAAATCTGGCAGCCACGCACTCCAGCAGCGGACAAACAGACCGGTTGGTGATCCTCAGTTGGATGTTACAAGCAGTTGCAGCCAGCTTCTGCAAAACCTTTTGGATCCCTGCACGCATGGTCACAATCAACTCTCAGCCAAGACACTTGGAGTTCTGGCCAAGGTCAACTCTTTCCAGAATTCCTGTGACACCGATGATTGGTGCTGCGCTAGCTGGCCCACGAACTGGCCGGCACTTCGTAAAACTAAGGGCACTCAGAAGCTTAGGAAGTTCTCACGAAAGCCCGAATGGAAAGCCCGCGTGGTCCTGCGTATGGAAAAGCGGCAGTCAATGCCAATAAATCTTCATCAGAATAGCCCAAGCCGCGAAGATCGAGGAATGGAAGCTGCCTGGCCCCGCCATCCGGCTCTGCATCTCCAGTGCCCTAGACCCCTAAATCATCCGGGAGCACTTGACATTTCACTCACGCCAGAGACAGAGCGAGACAGACAGAGAGAGAGACAGAGAGAGAGAGAGACAGAGGCAGAGGCCGAGGCAGAGGCAGAGGCCGAGAGGCCGAGAGACCGAGAGACCGAGAGGCCGAGAGGCCGAGAGACCGAGAGACCGAGAGACCGAGAGACCGAGAGACCGAGAGACCGAGAGACCGAGAGATTGATCCCAAATCAAAGGATCGTTGAGATAAGCCACTGTCCAAGAAAACCGACGACCACCTGCTGCGGTTGCAACCCACAGTCCATGCACACCTTAGTAGTGCATCGGAACCAGATCAACCGCATCAGTTGAGCAACTTTATCATCCTTTGCCGAGTGCATCTGATCAGGAACTACTAAAACTTTGGTACCACGGTCAGGGTCAGGACATAGTCAGATCACTCGCAGAAGCGTCAACGGGTAGAGTCGTGGATGAGTGATGTAAGAGCTGCAGCGCAGCATCATTGCGGCAGGACGCCTTCGCGTAACGCTGCAGAGGTGGCGCATCTGGGCCGCAGTGGCTGCCTGCCGAGGATTTGCCACACACTCTCACCCTTTTTTGAACAAAGAGGCGTCTGCTCAATCCGCTGCTTTGTCTCTCCTATGGAACTCGAAATGGTCTGAACAAGGATCTTCTTGCCAACAAGACCAAATTGACGCCGGGCGGCCGTCGACAAGCTAACTAGCTACAAACCTGGGGCTTCTCTGCAAAGGCATGAAAAGGCACTCGAAAATCCTCTACTCAAAGCCTTAAGATCTTAACAGTTTTAAACCTTCCTAAGCCTGCCTTCCGCCTTCCTATCCTCCCGCCTCGCTCTGCTGACCAGGGCCTGTGGAAGGTCGTGAGTGGCTCGGACCGCGGCTCCTGCTTCGGCGGTGACCCGTTTGAGTTTGGGAAGTTTGGTGGGTTTTGGCGGGTTTCGGAGGGTTTTGGAGGGTCTTGGAGGGTTTTTGGGCCTTCTTACTGCACCCTGCAGCCTTTCCTGGAAGGTCATGCTTGGCTTCAAGGACGAGACGGGCGAAGCGGCGCGCAGATTCTCACCTCAGCTTCGGATGGGTTCTGGCAGTTACCGGGACATGACAGCATCGCAGACAGCTGCATAGCTAATTATGGCAGCTATGGTGGCATGATGCAGATTGTTGTGCCAAATTTTATGTTGGTGACTATGAGGCCACCGAGAGACCGCAGAAGCCGTCATGCCGCTCGTGGCGCCATGTACGGAGCTGGACCTCAAATAGGCATCGGCGCAGCATCGACCCCCGCCCCCACCCCCCCCCACCAAACTTTTCTTTGGAGTTAGACTCATTGAAATACCACTCCTGCAGGTCTCGTGCTTCAGACCCTACAACAGCCCGTTGCAATACACCCAGACTTGCCGGCGTATGACAACTTATGAGCTGTCGAGTCGGATGCCAGGCGGCCCAGTCATGGAGGCCTGGATGCCACTTCGAAGAGGGCTGCTGACCTCAGCACCACGATGTCCAGCCAGGAACAATAGGTCAAAGCCCCGACCACAAGATTGGCACCCAACAGACCCTAAAGTGCCACGTGAAAACCCTGAACCTCACTGAACCCTAAACCCTTATTTTAAACCCCCCTTAAAACTCCCTTAAACCCCCCCTATTTGCGGCCCGAAGATCCTGCCATCTCTTTGATGGCTCGAAGAGGCTCAGACTGACGCTCGGCCTCTCTCTTTAGGCTGATGTAGGGCTTAACTGGTAGGGACTAGCAGGGTCGAAAGGGTTTAGGGCTTAGGGTTTATTGGAATTAGTACTAGTAGGACGTAATTTAAAGGATTTAGGGTTTACTTGGACCCACAAAGTACGATAAATACGGGCCGGTGGCCCCACATTGAAGGCGAAATGAAGGCAGAAAGACAATAAACTGTTGCTTTGGCGAGGGTCTTGTCGCGCTGCGGGCTAGGTGTCTTAGCGGTTACAGGTTGGGATTTTTAGGGGGTGTTGAGGGTTTAGGGTGCTTCGGGCTCGGCCGTTTAGGGTGTTTGGGTTGCTTTGGGGTTAGACTTGAAGGATTGGGTAAGAGTTTAGGGTCAAGAGCGCTGACAAAAGCAATCACAGACAGAAGGGGGACAGCACGAGGAAGCGGGCCTGGGTGCCAGAATTCAGAGAAACACAGATCGAGAGTCTGGAGAGATGGAGGCTTGGTCGCTGTCATAGAAGGTGATGGTCGAACCCTGCAGGTGCCTTTCTGTAGGACTTTGATGGTTTTTGGGAGCCTTAATTAAGCGTCCTTTCTGGGTGACGCTAAAGGGACAAGAAAATGGAACAGATTCGAGCCAGCACCCCACTTGTCTGCCTGCTTCCGCTCCAGGCGGCTGCGAACGCCGGTGGACTCGCGAGTTGTGGCAGCACCTTAGATCGGTTCGCGCGCACTGTGGCCCGAGCTGGGAAGTCCACAGAAAAATGGCAACATCAACAAAGCATATCAGCATAGGACTGGATGACTGAAGTAACATTCACGAACAATCGGCCACGAGTCATCTTCTACAAGATTCTACAAGATAACCTCATGTGGAGTTCGGAGACTCCAAAGTTGCCAACGCCGCGCGAGAACGACCTAAACCGTAACAGAAAACATCCGTAACGCGCATGCGTGCATGCAGGTTCCAGGCTGGAATTTGAGGATTTCTACACTAACGAACCTGCTTTAAGACACTTCTGGAATTTGACAGCTGCAACCCGCAAACAAGGACATTGAGCTGAATCTCAGTTAAATCGGACAAGGCAGTTAGATGCAATGAATCTCGGTTGGTTTTTAACAAGGACAGTGCAGAGATGCTGATTTTGCTGGAAAGCGGCCCAAGGCTCGAGCCCATCAAAAACGCATAAACGCATTGTGCAACGGGCTTACACATGCGTACTGTACGTGTGTGAATAAAAGTTCACGAGACTGCATCTACCTGGGTTGACCAGCGGCAAATGGTGAGGGCTTTTGTTAGCAAAACAAAGAGTAACCTGTGCGTTTGTAAAATTGGTGTTGGCAGATGCATGGTTCGGGATGATGCTTATGTTTAAAACCCATACTCACTGTGGTTGTTGGTTGGTATGATGCTTGACTTGGGGCATGTTGGCTGGGAAAAAAGTTTCAGTTGTTGGATTTGTGACAAATACATATTGGCTGCTTGACTGTGAGGCTTGGTTGATGATTGGACAGAGTTGTTGATGGTGTAGGTGGAGAGGTATGTCTGGTTTGTGTAGATGTGCATGTTGATGGAAGTGGTCTGCTTATGGGTGCTTGGTTGATGTTTGTGGTCGGTTGTTGGTTGCGTCGTTCTGAAAAATAGCCTTGCTCGGTAGATGGGCTATGTTTGGTGGATGGTTGTTTGGATATTGATGTTGGTGATGAGGTTGTTCCTGTTTTGGCTGAAATGTTGAAGAAGCAGGTTTTTGATTGCTGGAACCAAAACACTCCTTTCAAGCCGCTGGTTGAAACCCAGCCCCAGACGGCCAAGTTTTCAAGAGAACGGCCCGTCCGAGCCACCGAACCGTAAAATCACTAGCACTGTGGACTGTTGAGGGGGAGTTTCGGGAAGCCTCAGTGTGAGCCAAGGTTTAAAGTTCAGGTACCGGGCTTCTCAAAGCTACAGCGACACTGCTTTTGCCTGACATGCTTCGGGACCGGGAGAGCAAGGGGAGCAGCGATGATTCTGCTTCTCCGGTGATTTGTGGGGCGGGGGGCTACTAATCCAAGTCCACCTTGGACCCGGGCTCTTGGCTACTCAGTCACAGCCACAAGGGCTGTTTAAACCGTTCCATGCTTTCGAAAGAAGAAACCGCAGCTGAGAGTCCAAATCGAAGTGGCTTGATCCTCGATTCCTGCGACAACAACACCCACTTGTATTTCAGCCTTTTCCCATACCAATCAGCTTTACATTCCGTTGCGTGTCCTGCTTCACCGTCCGCGCGCTGTGGATCGTGTGCGGAACAGGTGGCAGCGCGGAGAGGGAAAGGCCCAGCCGCTTCGGACAATGGTATTCCTGACACACTTTCCACATGCAGGTACGGAAAGAAGAGACTTGGAGCTCCATCTGCCTCTCTGCAACAATCGCAGCAGACAGACAGAAGCAGATGCAAAGATCACACACTTCACACTCTTGCATGCTGGTATGGATAGCACATGATGGCACCACAGCATTAGAGATGCTGATGCTCCAAAGACGGATGCCTTGCCAGATCGGAGTACCAAAGCACAGTGTGTGGGCATCTCGATGTTTTCCAACATGGTTTGGCACTTTTTCTGATCCTCCGAGAAGGCACGTTTCAAGCTTCGGGTATATGACCTCAGGGTGGTTTAAGGTTTGTGGCGGCAAGAGGCTGTGATTGCCAGCTGTCAACAACACGTCCTGAAAGCTTGAGTACCGCCGTGTTGGCGAGTATCTCGGGCAAGTCAGGCAGGGCAATTTAGGGTTCAAGGCTGTGGACGCTGCATTCAGAATTGTCGAAAATCGATGCCTCTCAGCCAATGGATTGCGATCCTCCTGAAGAGCTGGCCGTCTCCTGTCGTGCGCAAAGTGGAGAGCCCGCTGATGAGAAGCGAAAGAAAAGCCACCGAGCGACGCCAGAAGCGGAGATTCTGGCTCCACTGGCGGCCAATCGTTCCATGCATCCTCCGACCTCGGGAACTTAGCTGAACTCTAGGATGACCTGCACCTGCACATACCCCTACCCGATTCTTCAAAGGAGCTGTTCATCAGATCCTGCTGATCCGGCAGATGCCCTCGTCATCCTTGGTTGAGATTTTCCCTTGCTGCGGAGTAGCTCAGGAACATTCTGGCGGGTCACTGTACCCTGTGAGTGTGGCACAGCCGAGGTGCGGCCGGGATGGCCGGCCGGGGTTGTCGACTTTGTCCTGCAGGACGCTTTGAATACACCCCGAACCCTAAAGGAAAAGGACCTTGCGAATGCAACAAGGAAGCTCCCCCCTACACCCCTTAAACTAAACCCCCTAAACCCCTACCCAGTGCACCCTTCAAGATCCCTCGAATACGGCCACAAACGTACCCTCAGGCCTTCGGGGTTGCTCGGTTCATCTGAGGAGGGGGACTTGACACTCCTTCAAGCCCTTTGCCTCTACACCCTCGACCCAAAAAAACCCTCGAAAGCCCCAAGCTCGTTCTCCTTGCTGCCGCCCTTGAGTTCCGTCAGCTCGCGGCGCCAGCACGGACCAGACAAGGGAGCCGCCTGGAGCAACAAAAAAGTGCAAGGCTGGGTTCCCAAAAAGGGCCCCTGACTCCATATGGAGACCGAGGCTCCTTGTCCGTCTCACCTCAGATCCGATGTTGTGCCCAGATGCAGTAGGCCACAGGCCAAAGCATCCCCTCCCATGTTCATGTTGAAACCAAATCGCGGTAGTAGCTCCAGAACTCGTGCCATGAGGCGAAGTGGCCCCGCCGATAGTCTGAGAGTTTCCTCAAAGGGCAGGCTGCAGTTGCCTTCAGGACTTTAAGTGGGCGCAGAATGCCCCCGGCGGTGTTCTGCCCCTTCTTGGTTCCATGAAACGCGCTGTCGGAGTTGGCTCCTCTGCACCTTCTGGGTGGCGATGGGTCCCTCTTCCTGGCCGTGCACTGCGAAAAGGCATGCAAGGCCACCTGCCCGAACACCTCCTCTCAAGAGCCAAGCTGTCCTGCGCCTGCGCCAACAGAACTGGATGGGAGCTGCTCTCCTCCTCTCCTTGCCTGAAATCACGGAATCACGGGAATACTCACAATGTCCCGACTCCGACTGCGCCGGCCTCGCCCACTGACCATTGTGAGGCTTGGTCGTGCTCTCGATGACCTTCCACAGTGGCTCACCACCTCTCGCAAAAGGCGAAAAAAGGCAGTGACTGGTACTTCTGGCATTTCGTTGCAAATCTCAAAGTTCTGGAAACTGGGCCACGCCTGCACCTTCATCCTCTTCAATCGGGGAGACCGTCTCGAAACTCCTGGAGCAAGAATTGCCAAAGGCAACTGTGCAAGTCGTCTGGAAGGCACTGGAAACAGCGACAAGTGCATCAGCACCACACAGGAACAAAGCATGTCCCCATGGGCAGCCTGTCTTTCTGAATGATGCGGAGCAGCAGGAAGAAGAGGTTATTGCGCCCATTGATCATCAATGCCTCGCTGAGGGTTCTGCCCCAAGCTCCTCAAGCCAAAGCCCCCAAACCCAATCCCTCACACCTTGTACCCTTAAGCCTCAACCCAGTCATGAGCGAAAAGGCTTCCAAGACAAAAACTCTGGACCAGAAAAGTCGAATAAACCCTTCCAAGCTCAACTTGGCCCTAAATTCACCAAAGCCCGAAAAAAAAAATGGGCCTCGGGAACGGCGGTCCGACAGTCTGCCATGCGTTCCTCGCGCAGAGCAGCGAGGATTGTTATTTGGGGGTTTTACTGGGCGCCTTTTGGTGTTCAGGCGCCAGGGTGTTTAGGAAGAGGGGGTCTTTGTAGCATATCCGATGTCTCAGTAGAATTTTGTTGCTGGCGCCCTGCAATGAACTGGAGAAGATACCTCTTTAGCGGCTCTGACAGGGGAAACCAGGAAAGCCCCTTCAGTGTCCTGAAGGACGTCCGCGTACACTGCTGCGACAATGCCCCGAAAGCCTTTCTCCCACGCGAGGCGAAACCTGCCAAAAAGGACAGTACACGCCTATCCGAGGTTAGAGGATTCCCACAAGGTGCAATCAGGGTCCCCCCACCTTTGTGGGATGTTCGTCCCTGCATGGAAGCTGCCTCAGGACTGGCTACACACTCATCACAAGGCCCCGGCAAGGGGCGACGGTGATACTACACAGGCCATCTTTGACAAGATCACTATACCAACCAACCGACTCACGCCTACTGAAGTTGCATGCACTTCGAGAAGCTTCCATTCTGGAGTTCAGTCGAGGAGCCAGACCTGGTTTGCCCACGGGAGCGGGTTCGGATTGGCCGGAGTCCACCTGATGTGCGGCATGCACCGGATTCTTCCATAAACGCTCCAAGTAGTGGCGAATAACATTTGAGGGTTAGCCAGCTAGACTCTCACTCCCACTGTGGTCGCATCAAGACCTGGGCCCTCATGTACCCCACACACCCGACCCGGAACAACATCGGACGCGACATGTTTTAGGAGAAAGAACGAGTGAAGCAAGGGCCCTGAAGCCAAAATCGTGAGCTGCTGCAACCTAGGCACTCTCCAGTTCTGTCTTGACATGAGCCAAGCCCTTCTGCCAGAGCAGAACTGTTTTTCGCCGATTTCCCTTTTTGATATCTCCTGGCAGGTCCGCCAAAAAAGAAGTCAAGACCAAACCCTGACTGTTCGCGATTAAGATCGCCTTGCAGGATGCCCTTTCTCGGACTCTGGGCGGGCGATGCACCCGAAGCGCCCACTGCCATGGTGACATTGGAGGCGCAGCTATGTGAATCAAGCCTTTGGGGTCTTAGCTTGGGGTCTGGAGTCGAGGCTGGCTGTTTTTGACATAGTTGCAACATGCACTTGGTGAGGCTGCAGGTGAGTTTTTTTCTGGTCATGGTGTTTCGTGGAGCTGCAGTGCAACATCGCAACAGCTCACTCCCGCGGCCCCACTTGCCAAGTCTTGGCTCACATCTGCCGATTCCCTACAAATGCTCGCTTTTCTCACCTAGTCGGTGTAGAGGTGCACGTTTTGAAAACAAAAACCGGTCTGCTTCTTGCAGGTCTGCTCCTTTTGGGGCGAAGCTGCTTCAGCAACCGGCTAAAAATGGACGCTCGGGTGGCGTGATTGGTTCTTGTGGTTGATGCCTGAACCCCCAAGATACCCAGAATATATCAGGATATCCCAGAATGGTGGCCTGTCCACCCTTTTGTGTTGGGCTAGCGGCTCTAATCGGTTGGGTACTTTGGGAGTCCAGACGTTCCTCACAGAGAACAGCGACTCCAGGCTTTCTATATGCCCAGAATGGCAGAGGCCATCCCAACATGGCCACAGGCTCGAAGTTGGAACGACAGCAAGCTATGGGTCGTTCGAAATTAAGGTTTAGGGAGGTTTTGGGGGGGGGGGGGGGGGGGATTGCATGGGGTGGTGGCGTAGGGGGGGCGAGGGGGGTTCCTTCTGTGGAAAGGGGGCTAGCGTAGTAAAAGGCAGCTACAAGCGGACCCTAATTTAGAACAACCCCCCTAGACTCTGTACTGTACAGACGAAGGGCGCATGCATCTGTAAACGGAGCTGATCACGCTCCCTGGCACCGATCAGGGGCCATACCAGCCTAGAGCTCCATAGGGCCTTTGAAAGACAGCTGTGGCCTTCTGTGTCTACTCAATATGATTTTTGTATGACGTGATGAAAACATACACTTGAAACGATCGAGCTTGTTGCGCTGGATGCTCTCATCGGCTGCATGCCAGGGAGCGTGAATGCACTCCAAGCGGGAACGGCTGTGCCAGCGCGGTCCATCGACCACGGGCGGAGCCAGACTGTTGAAACAGCCATGGCCGCCCTTCCCACCGTGCAGCTCCCCCCAAAAAACCACCACGAATTCAGGGCCTGTGCCTTGTGCTTTCAAACACAGGGAAGCCTGGCTGCCGCGATAGAAGCTTCCGGTGGCAGTTGCTGAGTTGCTCAGCAGTTTCAGGCTTCTTTCGAAGAACCGGCATGCCTAGTATCGCAGCACGTAGGCTATCGAAAACTTCCAGCCGCCCCAACTGGGAAAAGCAACCTTCTTCCTAAATGCGCTTGCAGTGGCATCTCCGTGACTTTGTTAACTCCCTAGGTAGACTCTGTGCTGAAGTTGAACCAACAGCTTCAGGGCAGAATGATCGGCTCCTTTTCGGTGAAGAGCGGCGGTGGCAACAAGGCAACTTCCGGATAGTAGGCTTTGCCTCGGCTGCGTAGAGGGGACAGTTGAACCACTGAAAATCCACTCTTAGAATTTTGAGAGATCTGGACCCAACAATCATGCAGACTCAGGGCCGGTCGACACTCCCAGTTTAGGTATCCGCTTTCGAAACTTCAACTGCCCGCAGATGCTTTCCCCCCCCGCCCCGCCGCCCCACTTCGAAAACCCTGAAGCCTGACCCCATTTGCGCCCAGAGCTCAGGTGAAGTTCGCTAGCTCCAGGCTCGCCGCGATCGGCCGCTGCCAAATCTCGCAGCGACCCCGGCCTCAAGCCGAATTCGAGCTTCACGAATGCTAGCTAAAAAGAATGCTGAGGGAGAAGCACACTGTAGCTCCTCTTCACGCACACTGGGGACTGCGCTGAATTCAATCCCATGGCAAAGCGGTGCAGCTGAGCAAGCCGCCTGGCATTCCTGAAGACATGCAACGGAACGAGCCGCCCAAACCCAAAACCCCTCAAACCCCTGAAATCCCAGATCAACGATCCATTCAAAATTCGCCTAAAAACTGCCCCCTGAAGCCGAAAAAAGGCATCCTGGAGGGACTCCGATGCGACGACCACATAGTAGTCATCGGAATTATCCCCAGGCCCATCTCCACGGCAAGCGCGCCCTTCCCCACCATCAACCTCAATCTCCAGTTCAGGGGTGCTCGGGTGGTATGTGTAGGTCCTAGAGTCCTAGGTGTGCCCCACAAAGGTCGAAAGCATTTGCAACCTTTCTCCAAGCGACAGGAACGAGATTCCTTGTTAGCCAACCAAAGCGCATGCAGGTAAAGCCACTGATGTTGAGCTCTTTCCACACAAAGATCCCTTCAGGACGTGTCCAGGTTTCACAACGCCCGTGGCTGAATTCAATGCCTCGCAAGAGGGCGCCTAGGTACGCACAGCTAGGGGTTGTTCTAAATCAGGGTGAAAAAGGCAGTGCCTTTCAGTGCAACAAGCCTGTGGCGCGAGGGACCCAACAAGGAACCCCAATTCAATTAAAGCAAACCCCACACGAGTTCGCGCCTTTGCAACTCGGAAATTGCTCAATGCAAATGCCCTGGCATGCCTCAGGGCAAGCTGCTGAGAGAGCACACGCAAACCAGTCGCAAAGATGCGCTGCAGCACTGAAAGCAAAAGAGCTTGTGCCGATCCAGTCAGTGAAACTGGTCCTCATCAGTGGAGTGAGGCTTCTGCTGACGACCTCTGCCACCAAGGGTCTTCCAGAGTAGTAATGCCCTCGTGCACTGTGTAGTAGCTGGGAGCATTGTCGTCGCTATTCCTCCGGCTGAATGCGTGCATGATGTTGTTGTTTCGCCGAAACTTCACGACAAGTGCTTGTGAACAGAATGCTGGCAGTGCCTCCCGCGGCAGGCACCATTGCCCGGACTGCCGACATACTCCCAGCCGACGTCAGAGGGTAGCGATCGAGCGCATCTGTACCAAGCACGACACAACAAACGGCACTAGCCCAAGACAATGTGCCTGCACACATACGACTCAGAATGTTGCCACTTGCTCAAGTCAAGCCTGCAGCACTCAAAGCGGTGTGCCACTTCATCTGGCCAGTCTCCCTCACAGTGACCATTCCAGCGTTTGGCAGTGAAGCTGCTCCCTAATTCCTGAGCCAGTGGTGGCTGGTGGGCTGCGAGGACAGAAGGCTGTAAAATATTGTAAAATCTATGCAGCCAAAGTGCAGAACAGGTCTTTGCCTCTGCGTCACAAGGCACGCCTCGAAAAACAAAACACAGGGCACCCTGCAACTATCTCCAGCCATCTGCAACCATCTGCAACCGGCTGCCCTGCCTTGGCACTGCAGGTTGTAGCCTCCCGGGCACTCCAACACGTACTCGCAAATCGAGTAGCCATCTGTGATACCTGGCGAATGCAAATGCTGTGCACTCGCCGCAGCCTCTGGTAATGTAGAATTTTCGGGGGTTCAGGGTTCAGTGCTCCAAGATGCAAAACTCTCCGCTTCGTGTGGGAGAGGTGAAGTCGCTGCTGGGGGCTCTGGTAGTTGAACCTCCGCAGTGGCATTTGAACCCTCAAGCCCTAAACTGTTCAGACTGCGAAACATGACACTGTCCCTGATACAACTACGTCCTGCTCCGAGACGTCCCGCCTTGCTGTGAGGTTGTCTGTACCACGGTCGTGCCTGTGGTGCTTGGTACGGTCGTGGCCGGCGCCTGCCATACGTGTCGAGCTCGAGCTCAGCTAGCGGCAGCTAGCGGCCCGTGCACAAACCGTTCTCCCAAAACTCATGGTCTCCAACTTTCAGACCCTTGCGCCTGGCTCGTGGAGCCTCACAGGATCTCACACACTTCAGATGCGGTTGGGACACAAAGCCCTAGACTCCCAAACCTCTCTTGGGTTTTCAAGCCATTGTTGTGAGTTTTTTTGGGGGTCCCAGGAAGCATGGGGGTCCCAGGAAGCACCTGACAAAGCACCATTGCAGTGAGCCTGCAGAGACTTCCACGCAGGTGTTGCAGAGGGTCTGGTCTCGCGCATATACATCTTAGCAGCGCAAGACAAATGGCGCATGACTCTTCTTGCCCCAGAAAAAAAAAGAAACTAAGCTCCCTTCCCACACATTGCTGTGAAAAGAAGATGACTTCGCCTGAGCGTTCCGAATAAGAGGGCACTTCCAGCTCTCTGCAGTCCCCGCAGATTGACTACCCAAGTAACCATGTAGTAACCATGTATGCTGCCCGGTCACTCGAGATGTAGCTTGAGCCCAGTTGATCACATGCGGTCGCCCCGCACACGGAGATCGGCGCGGACAGCTCGAAGCCATCTTGGCAAGACAGCTCCTCTTTGCAACCTTCAGGCCCAAGAGCCCATGCCAGCTTTGCTGCATGTTGACACATGGAAACATGCCTGCGCAGCTCACGACTAAGCGTCCCACATGATGTCTCCAAGGATGTCGGGCACTCTCCACTTGTGCGATGGCAAGTCTGGCCCTGCATCTCAACCCTAAGCAGCCCCTAAGCAGTCCCTAAGCCGAATATGTGCTCTCAGGGCTCTGACTGGCAGGAGACAGCGCGGCATTCTCACGGCGGCTGAGAGCCCGACGGACGAGGCTGGACGATGGGTGGCCGGCAAGGGCTCAAACCCAATACACTGACAGCACTCGTACCTTCCGAAAACAGCTTGCATAATCGAAAGGCAGGCCAAGGCAAATGTCACTCAAGATGCCATGATATGCCATGCCTCCGGGAAACATCGGGCCAGTCATTACAGTGACCGTTCCATTCGGAAGGCCTGAAGTTGACGCCTGACGCCATGCCGTATCCCGAGTGGCCATGCGCAGACATCTAAGACCCCAAAAAACCCTGAACCGAAGCTGCGGCACCCAGATCTGCACATACTTGTTCTGAAGCATCACAGCCGATTTCTTGGCATTCCTGGGCTCACACCATGTGGCTTGAGGTGTCAGGGCTGTAGGGCATTTAAGACTTCGAGCTTCAGGGTTCTCACGAGGATTCAGGCAAAAAAATGCTGGTCCGCATATTGGGCTCAAGCGAGTAGTCTCCCGGGCAGGTCAACGCATAGGAGCAGATGGCATAGCCGCGCATGCCTTCCAGAAGCACTCAATCCTAGACCCCGAGAGGCTTCAGAAACAGCCCCCCAGCCCACAAATAAAACCTCAACTGAGGGCAGAGCATGTTTCGGAGGTCTTGACCTCGAAACCACATGCAGATTCTTCCGGGGCCGGAAGCAGGCACCGAGCAAATTCAGATCATTCATGAGCTCTAACCCTGCTGCCAGTCTGGCACTGTGTCCCATGTTTTTCCATGAGTTCTCCCAGAAAAAGGAAGCCCCTGAACCCTGAACCCTAAACCGCTAGCCGCTCCTCTGTTCGTCAAAGGTGCTGGGGCAACCAGGAAGGTCTCACCAGATGTGCGCAGTAGCAACAGTGCGACCAGGATCGCCTCCTTGGTCGGGGCCTCACTCGAAACGCATTCATTGCGCGTGGACCGCAGATGCTTCGAGGAGTTGGCATCCGGACTTTTAACGCACATGGTGGCTGACATCTAATTCTGCCTGATCTTCATGTTGATCTCTGGTGGCGCACAATGCAGAAGAGCGGCTGCCATTTCTTGGTATCTTCGTGGAACGCCAGAGCCACGCAAAATGGCTTCGGGTGTTGATGTGATTGGAGTGGCACGTGATGCGGCAAGAGTCCGAGGAAAACTCACAAGTCACGGTGCACAGCCAAGGTTTTTTGAATTTGGGGTTTCAACATGCTTCAACACAGCTAGTTTAGGCTTTAGGGGTTTAGTTTAGCTGTTTAACCTTGAAAAAAGCATCCCCTCTGAAAACAATCCCCTTGGAGGCCTCGGCAAGTCTTTCGCAGTCCAAGCCTGCAGTGTGATTTCTAGAGCTCGGATGTCTGAGGAAGGGCTTTCAACAAGGCCTCCGCCGTAAATCGAAGACGTTGCGGGAACTTCGGCATTCTTGCACTTTCCGGCTACCATTCAGGCACATGTGGGGACCACTTGGGAGTGTGTTGTTGTTACGGGGACCCTCGTGCATCTTTTGAAAGCTACCTGGTACGACAAGCCCATGGCCACGTCAGAATACGTCAGAGACCTGTTCACCTGTTCAAGGCTTGCCGGATGCGCCCATCGAGAAGTTCCACGCCGCCGCGCCAAGAGCTTGCCAAATCACCGTGGTCCCTGCCTGCCGACACCCTAACCCTGAGCGGCCCTAAGAACACGCTGATGGGTTCGGAGCCCTGTGCCTTCATCAGGCCGGTGCCCAACACCCGCGTCTGAGCCACGTCTCCTTGAAGCGCTTCGTTGCGTGTACCTTGCACGTGGGAGTTGGGCTTCGGGCTATGGGATTGCGAGAAAAAAACCCGGAAGCCGTTCAACGGGATCAATTTGATGAGGCCCCTCCCCGCCGGAATTGTGGAAAAAAAGGTGATGCGAGATTTCGGCGAGGCTTTTGAATAGAGTTGTCTAGAAATCGCTTCTGAACTGAGCCTGACTGTGTCTGAGACCAAAGCTGGTTGGGTTTGGATGCAGAAGCCTACGAGCTGAGGCTTCCTGGCCTTAAGGCCTGAGGCTGTCGGACCCCGAAATCTCAAGTCAGCCCCAAAGCCTCATACAAAAACCCTTTAAGAAGAGTCATATTCTAAACTCATCCCTTTAAAATCATATGGATCCCTTGTACCTTCCAATAAACGCATCCCTTTGAAAATCACATGAACCCCTGCTAAACTCATACAACCTCACCCCTTTTTATCACCAGACGGATCCCTTCCACACACCCATCCATTTGAAAAACAAACTCATCCCTTTTAAAACTCAGATGGACCCCCTAAATTTACATTAACCCATCCCCTTTAAGATCATATGGATACCTTCTAAAGTCACACAAACTCCCTTCAAAAACGTATGGACCCCTTGAAATTTCATGTAAACTCATCCCTTTCAACATCCTTCCAAAAAATCATGCAGATCCCTTTACAATTCATATCAACTCCTCCCTTGAAAACCATGAAAACTCAGAACCCCCCCCCCCCCTCCCCCACCAAAAGAATCCCCCCCCAGCACTAAAGGCGGGGATGGCTGTTCTTGTTTCTTTGTTTGTTTTTTGAGTTTGTTTTTTCTTTTTTTTAGGGGGGGGGGGGGGGGGGGGGGCGGGGGGGGGGGGGGGGGGGGCGGGGGGGGGGGGGGGCGGGGGGGGGGGGGGGGCGGGGGGGGGGGGGGGGGGGGGGGGGGGGGGGGGCGGGGGGGTGGGGGTGGGGGTGGCCACACTAATCAGCATCCAACATTCGGATTCAGCACATTGAGGTTTCAGGGCTTCAAGATGAAATAGAATCCCTTTTGGGATACCCCCCCTTTCGAAGTTCCATGTTACAAGATGGACCCGAGCCGAAAAATTCAAGAAATCCCCGGGGCCTTGCATCGACCAGCAGGGGTGCTCCTCCGTGGCATTCCAAACCTCGGCACAGAACCCGAATGTCCAAAGGCTGAATGGCTGAATCGCTCGGAAGCTCAACTGGAATATTGCAACATAGAATACACATATATATATATATATATGGTCACCCCCCCCAATGGACCCACCGCGGGCCTTGATCTTTGCAAAAGTACCGCAAATACCGATAAAACCTATGCTGTCTGGTGATATTCCGGTGACCGGATTTTTGACTGTATTCCTTAATTCACTCTCTCACACACACGGATGGTGTTTCTTTCTGTGACTTTTGTTTATAATTTAAGACTTAGGCATTTAAACCTAAGCCTGCAAAAAAACCCTTAACCTTTAAACCCTGTAGGGTTGAGGTTTCAAGGTTAAGGGTTTAAGATTTAGGCATTTGAACCTATGCCGGCAATTAAACCCTAACCTTAACCTTTGAATTCTATAGGGTTAAGATTTTTACAGGTTTAGGTTTAAGATGTAGGCATTTAAACCTAAGTCTGCAACTAATTTTAAACCCTTAACCTTTAAACCCTGTAGGGCTAAGGTTTAAAGGCTTAGGGTTTAAGATTTAGCCATTTAAACCTGTAGCCAAACCCTTAACCTTTAAACCCTGTAGGGTCAAGATTTTAAAGGTTTAGGATTTAAGATTTAAGCATGTAAATCTCAGACTTCAATTAATTTTAAACCCTTAGCCTTTAAACCCTGTTGGGCTAAGGTTTAAAGGTTTCGGGCTTAAGATTTAGGCATTTAAACCGATTCCGGCAATTAACGCTAAGCCTTTAACCTTAAAACCCTATAGGGTTAAGATATTTAATGGTTTAGGGTTTAAGTTTAAGGTTTAGGTATTTAGACCTATGCCGACAGTTCATATTGAACCCTTAACCTAAACCCTATAGGGATAAGATTTAAAGGTTTAGGATTCTTTACTTAGACATTTAAATCTAAGCTTGCAATTAAACCGAAACCCTTAACCTTTAAAACCCTATAGGGTGGAGGTTTAAAGTTTTAGGGTTTAAAATTCAGACATTTAAACCTAAGACGGCAATTAACAATAAACCCTGAACTTTTAAACCCTATAGGGTTAAGGTTTAAAGGTTTGGGGTTTAAGATTTTGGCATTTAAACCTAAGTATGTAATTAATTTGTCACCCTTAACACCCTTAAACTTTGTAGTGTGAAGGTTTAAAGGTTTAGGGTTTAAGATTTAGACATTTAAACCTAAGCCCATAGAGTTTAAACCTTAAGGGTTTAAGGTTTAGGCATCTATTCCTTAACCCTAAACCCTCTAGGGTCAGGACCCTAAAGCCCTCGGCAATCAAGCCTAAACCCTTGACCTTCAAACCTCATAGGATGAAGGTTTGAAGGGTTGGGGTTTAAGGCTAAGGCATTTAAACCTAGAGGGCATTTAAGCCTTAACCCTAAACCCTTCAGGGTCAGAACCTTAGCACCCTATATGGATCTAGCACCTGCAGGTATACATCGGTTTTTAAACCATTACACCCTGTAAGAAGGTTTAGGGTCTTTTCGGGGTCTATCTCTAAATTTCTCACGGGGTTAACCCTGCAGGGTTTAAAGTTAAAGGTTTAGGATTAAAGGTTTAGGCAATACCTAAAGGATTAGAAGTCTTCTCCTGGTAAAACCATCTTTTCTCGAGAAAAAGATGGTTTTTCGAAGGATGGTTGCTCAAAACCATCTTTTTCTCGAGAAAAAGATGGTTTCCAACCAAAAAACCATCTTTTTCTCGAGAAAACCAAAAAACAAAAAAAAAAAACATCTTTTCCAAAACTATGGGGCTGGGGCCTCCAAAAGATGGTTTTTTTGGTTTTCTCGAGAAAAAGATGGTTTTTTTGGTTCGAAACCATCTTTTTCTCGAGAAAAAGATGGTTTTTGGAGGTCTTCTCCTGGGAAAACCATCTTTTTCTCGAGAAAAAGATGGTTTTTGGAGGTCTTCTCCTGGTAAAACCATCTTTTTCTCGAGAAAAAGATGGTTTCGTTTCGACCAAAAAACCATCTTTTTCTCGAGAAAACCAAAAAAACCAAAAAAACCAAAAAAAACAAAAAAACCATCTTTTCCAAAACTATGGGGGCTGGGGCCTCCAAAAGATGGTTGTTTTTTTTGGTTTTTTGTTTTTTTGGTTTTTTTGGTTTTCTCGAGAAAAAGATGGTTTTTTTGGTTCGAAACCATCTTTTTCTCGAGAAAAAGATGGTTTTCCCAGGAGAAGACCTCCAAAAACCATCTTTTTCTCGAGAAAAAGATGGTTTCGAACCAAAAAACCATCTTTTTCTCGAGAAAACCAAAAAAAAACCATGGGGCCTCCAAAAGATGGTTTTTTTGGTTTTTTGGGGTTTTCTCGAGAAAAAGATGGTTTTTTGGTTCGAAACCATCTTTTTCTCGAGAAAAAGATGGTTTTACCAGGAGAAGACCTCCAAAAACCATCCTTTTCTCGAGAAAAAGATGGTTTTACCAGGAGAAGACCTCCAAAAACCATCTTTTTCTCGAGAAAAAGATGGTTTCGAACCAAAAAACCCATCTTTTTCTCGAGAAAACCAAAAAAACCATCTTTTGGACGCCCCAGCCCCATAGTTTTGGAAAAGATTGTTTTTTTGTTTTTTTTGGTGTTTTTGGTTTTTGGTTATTTGTTTTTTGTTAGTTTCTTGTTTTGTTGTTGTTCCCTTGATCTGGCTAGGACTCGGATGCCACCCGCGGTGGGTCCATTGGGGGGGGGGGGGGGGGGTGAGCATATATATATATATATATGTAGGCAATATAGTGTCTTCTCATACCACAATCATATCAGTAGTTAATCGCCACTGTAACCTTCCGCTGCGAAACCCTAGAGACGAGACCATCTGCGGATGGCTAAGCTGAGTATCACGAGGGCTCCCATTCTCGCGCTGTATACATATACAATGTAGTATGATGTATCTGTTTACATATATACATACATATACACGGTGCCCCGCCGCCCACCCAGTACGGCTCTAGTAAAACTTGTGGTCTAGGGTCTGGTACATATGTATCTACATCAGCTTAAATCCATACTCCCAACCATGTTTCTCCCTACCCGCAGTAGGACATGGACTTTCAAAGTCTGACGATGAAGGGGCGGGGCCAGAAGCAGCGTTGCGCTGGAGGTCTGCTGGTTTTGCAGTTCGGACAGGTCTGCCTTTCCCCTGGTTTGTGCAGTTCGGGCGGTTTTGTTTGAAAAGCCGGTGGCAGGTGGCCTATCATTTGGGGGATACGGGTCCTACTGCAGTGCTACATTAGCAACATGACTCCCCACACGGGTTCTGGTTCTTGCAGCCAGCTAACAAGCATCCGTGCTGAACGATTAAGAATGTTTTTAAAGAAGTCCTCTCAGCCTCTCCAACGGCTGCGCCTCTGCAGCTTGGAGGGTGCGAGAGCTGCAAGAGCGGTCGAGGCGGTCACAACATCGCTTCCATGCCACCAACGGTTGCTGCGAAGGATTGGCCCTTGCACCTCTTGAAGGGTCGCGAAATCTTGCAATTGCAGGTTGTCTTCGGCAAGGCAAGTACATCAAGCTGCCTGGAACAGGAACCGCAGCGGATCGGGCAGCCACGCCCTGTGGCAGCAGCGAGTCTGATTGGGGCAGCTGCTCCAGACAAATTCCCAGCACCAAAACTCCAACACCGAAACCCCTTGTCCGTCTCAGTTTCTGGCACCAGCTCGGGCCAGTCCTGGACAAAATCCAGCCGTAGAGCCTGCGATCCAAGGCGGGTCTCCTGAATGAGCCCAAGAAACCCTCAACCCCTGAATCCTGCCTGCCACTCAGGCGGGCTTCCATATGTGGGCGGAGGGAGAACCTGCAAAAGCAGGTCCAAGCAAGCTTGTGGATCAGGATTTTGGGGGGGGGGGGGGGTACCTTTTAGGGCACCCTAGCATAGAGCAACTCCACACACACAAGCAACTCCAGTCTGGGCCGGGTAGTGCTTAGGGTTATCGGAAACTTGATGCTTTGTCACCTGGCCAAGGTCGACACAACCCAGCAGAGACGACCTTCGGCGGGATCCGGGCTTTGCGCGCAGCATAACACAAAAAGTACTCTGCTGCCGTCCCTCGTGTCCATGAATGATGTTTGAGAGGGTTTATATAAGGTTTCAGGGATGCCTTGAGGGCTTGCGGGGCTCATGGGGCTAAGGCCTAAAGCCCAAAGCTTCCGTCTCCCCAGTCTTGTGTTTACAGGCCTGAACCGGGCGTAGGGAAACCTTTCTCAAACTATCATTCTACTACCGTCATAGTACATACGTATATTCCGTCATTAAGTCAATATTATCGTTGTGTGATTACATTCTGCTAATATATGAATATTTTGGCGAGCTTATTGAATTATAGTATGATATTGTTGCATTATGATACTGATACTATGACATGGTGATAGTGTGATACTCTGAGATCATGATACTATGAAATTATGATATGAGGATACTATGGTATCAGGATATTATGCCACAAGATATTTCGATATTACCATATTGTGATATTACGATATTGTGATGTCATGATATTATGATACTGCTGTATTGTTCTATTGCGATATCAGTACAATCTTATATTAGTACATTGGAATATTATGATATGATTTAAGTTATGCTATACTGTTATATTCTAGTACTAGATATTGTTATACTCATAGTTCCAATATGATACTACCACTGTACTACTATATCATCATATCATTCCATGATGGCATTAGAATGTCACTATCTTAGTACATTCCTCCATGAAGAGACTATATGATGGCTAGTATGTGTATATTTTTCTAGGTTGGCCCCTAACTGAAAAAGATTCCTGAATATGATCCTCCTAAACCCAAATAAGGGAAAATACAAAATGTCCCAAGGGCCTACCTAGTTGTGGTATAAAAGGACACCCAGTATATACACTCACCAATATCAAAAAGGAACCTTACATACACTCACCAAGAACAGTCATATAAACCCTACTTCATATTTTGGTATGTCAGGTCTGTTCTCTACTCACCAATAACAGTCATATAAACCCTACTTCATATTCTGGTATGTCAGGTCTGTTCTCTACTCACCAATAACAGTCATATAAACCCTACTTCATATTTTGGTATGTCAGGTCTGTTCTCTCATGTTTTGCTCAGTCTCCTTGGGATCCGGCACAGCGGCGCGGGTCGCCTCCGCGGCCTCCGTCGCTTTGGTGAGCTGGCCCGCCAGGAGCTCGCCTTACAAAGAAGCCAAAAAAAAAAAAGCTTAGGGTTTATAGGGTTGAGGGTTTAGGGCAGTTTAGGGTTTAGGGTTTAGGGTTTAGGGTTTAGGGTTTAGGGTTTAGGGTTTAGGGTTTCGGGCAGTTTAGGGTTCAGGGTTTAGGGCAGTCCAGGGATTTGGGTTTACGGTTTCGGGCTCAGGTTTAACAGGTATACTCGCGCTTCCTTCGGGTGAGAGCCTGCAGTTGTTTAAGGACTTGAGCAGTCATACGAGGGTGTCTTCAATCGTGTGACCAATCCCATCACGTCCCAATGCTGCAATCGCTGCCCAGGTACGTGTGGAGCACACGATGCCAAGAGAGGCGACCTCAAATGGGAGTGGCCGAGCTGCTCTACTGGAAACAAACCGAACGACTTACAACGCACCCGAAGACCCGCAACTGAGCTCCAACATCGTCAGAAGCGCGCACTGTTTTTTCGCCCCTCCGAGACGGCGCGTTGCGCCAGCAGCTCTCGGACAGAAAAGCTCCTGGCAAGCTACTGAAGAACACGACACTGCATGTTTTCTGATTAGGATACCCTAAACCCTAAACCCTAAACCCCAAACCCTATGGCAATCCTGACCCTGGAAATCCTCAAGTTAGGCTCTGGCGGGACCCTGGCAGTCCTCAGTCGTCTTCGTCTGGGAAGTCGGCTGTGGAGGTGGACAACTTCGCAAGGCTCTCGTGGAAGAGGCAGTGCGGAGGCTCCGAGTTCTCGGGCAGAGGGAGAAACATGAACCCCAGAAAAATCCACAAAGCTTCGGGGCTCCTTAGGTGCTGCAAGCTTGCATTCTGCCACGTTTTGCTCCCGTTTTGCTGGCATGTTTTCCCGAATGTGTAGCGGAGAGTTCTCGAAACGAGAGCTGAGGCTCCAGGGGTTGGGGAGTTTCGGTGCATCGTGCGCTTTGTCGTTTGAAAGCGTTCGAAAGCGTTCCCGAAGGCATTCGAAAGCTGTCGCATGCACCCGCGGTGGCACGAATCGAGCTGTGGTTGCGGAAACCCAGGATTTTGGCCTGGTTCGGCCACTGCATGCTTTAAAAGTGCAGACAGTGACGGGGATGACGCCTCTCAGGGCTCTCAGGGGTTTTGGAGGTGCGCCGTCCATCCTCGTGACTGTGACTGTCGGCACTTTTGCAGTATAATCGTTGAGAAAGTGCAGACAGCTACGAGGATGAGGCTGATGAGATGAGACGTGAGCGAATGAGGGAGAGGGAGAGATAATGAGAGATGAGAGAGAGGAGAAGGAGAGAGGGAGAGAGAGGTGAACGAGATGAGAAAGAGAAAGAGAGTGGGAATGAGAGAGAAATGAACGAGAGACAGACAGAGAGAGGGAGAGGGAGAGGGAGAGGGAGAGGGAGAGGGAGAGGGAGAGGGAGAGATAGATGAGATTGAGGAGAGATGAGAGAGGAAGAGAGAGAGAGAGAGAGAAGAAATGAGAGAGAGAGAGAAGAGAGAGAAGAGATAAAAGGCAGAGAATGGAGAGAGAAAGAGAGACGGATAACACACTTCGATCTCGTGTCATGCACCGCGTCTTTTTTCCTTGCCGTGCGCGTAATACATATCTGCATTCGGGCGTCGTGGCTCCTATCAGGCTTGGGAGGGGGTCCTCGGAGAGCTCCACGTGCCATGCAAGGTGCGTGCCATCGAACTCCAGCGACGTGCGGAGCCTTGTAAGAAAAACTCCCCCCAATCTCAAAACGAGTACATGCAGAGATGCCCAGGACACCGGCTCATCTTTGGGCTCTTCGGGCGCCGGTGGGGCCCATGCCTCTGAAGGAAGCGGACAGCGAACATTAAGGGAACATAAGAACACTCCTAGAGCTGCTTCCATGTAGATGCTGGCGAGTTGCTGTAGCCTGTGCAACCTTTGGCTCAGGCACTGGCTGGACGGGTACCTGGGCGAAAGCTTGCCGCGCCCAAGCCTGCCTTCTCACAACTGCTCCTCTTGCCGTCACGGCTGCCTGCGCCCGTCTCCTCAAAGCTCTCTCCAGAGCTGACATCCTCCCGGAAAGGTCCTGGCCATCAGGGAACATTGCGGGGCAGACAGCAGAGAGGCGGTCCACAGCAGCAGACAGCAGGAAAACCACTGATGCAGAATCAACAGGGAACCACGAATGCCAGAACACAGTGATACGGTTGCATGTTTGCCCGCCAGCCTCCACCTTTTCCTGCGCTGCTGACACAGCATGGATCATCTCGCAGCCAACCTGCGAGAACAATCGGAAGCAAATCGTCCTCTCTCCGCTTCAATTGCCGACAACTACCCTACACTCTCCTGGGATTGTGCCTAAATCCTGAACACGCCCTGGACCCAGTGAACCAGCGATCCCTGGCGATTCGGCAGCGGCCTGCATCTCCGCTGCACTTATGGCCTCGAGCCCGGGATTGTTGACACTATGAAGTTTTCAGGTCAGCACATGAGGGAACATATAAACCGTTAAGTACGCCTCTTTTTATCGGCAACTTGAGCCACAGTCGAGGGTAAAGCGATGGTATGCACAGCTCGCAAAAGGAGTGTAATTCCTCCATGAAAAACTACACCCCCCTCACCGTGCTTGGCACAAGCTAAGGTGGACAGAGGATTACGACACACCCTTTCGGGTGGCCCATGTTGTCCCACCCGCTATGACCGAAACAAAGGTGAAGGGAAAGCAAAACTTGAGCTATTGTGCATACAAAATGGGCATTCAGCGGCTCCACCACTGCGATCCGCGCTGACTGCTCCAGCGGGATGAGCCCCAACCCTGACTAGCTGGCTCACGCCACTCACGCCACTCGCGCCATTCACGGTCTGACCACCACTGTTCTTGCCCTTGATGCCAGGGTGCTTCACGAACAGCTGTGTCCCTTGATGAGGCGCTCTGCGTCGATGGACGGGTAGTAGTGGCAGCCTCCGTTCGCTGCTGTGCCGTCTCTCGATTCTTGGCGGCGTGGTAGGCGGTGATTCTTTCCTGCTCCTCGGCAGAGTGGATGCATTCGGCTGCCAGCATTTGCAGCTCGGCAATCATGCCTTCCGGCGTTTCATGCTTGATTTCCACAATGCCGTTGAAGCTGTAGATCGTGCGGGCACCGGACAAGCGGGTGGCGATATCGGCATAGAAGCTGAAGCCGATGAAGGCGCCGCCGTAGGCCATCCCGATGGGGTTCTCGGAGAACTGGTCAATCAGTCCAGCCGATTTTAGGCCATCCATTGGCGCATCGCCATAGTAAACCAACTTGCCCGGCATTCCCTTTCGGGAAGCTCCGCTGAGGTAGTTCGACCCCGCCTGCAGAAGCCGCTGCTCTTCTGTGCGGCCTGGGTCCGGGAGCACGGCCTTCACCAGGAGGTCCATTCGGCACGCATCCTGAACCGTGATTCCGTTCCTCATCATCTGCAGGAAGAAGGTGGCATCACGTTCCAACCGATCAGCAATGGAGTCGAACTTGAGCTTTCTCGCACGTTGGAACTTGTCTTTGGCATCGCGTATGATCAGCGCATCCAGGGAGACTGAGCCCCGCTGTTTGCTGAACTTTTCTGCGATGCCACGGAGGTGTCCCAGGAGATCGTCATTCCGAGCATTGTACGTCAGCTTGAGGAGTGTGGTGCGACGGTTTTGCTGGAACGAGGAGTACTGACGGCTTGCCTTGTTGGACTCCGGGAACTGGTTTTCACCGCATGTCATGCAAAAGCGCTGCCCAAGCAGGACGATGCGTTGGCAGGCCGAGCATGGATAGCTCCCGTATGGGGCTTCGCTGTCGCTCTCTGCCTCTTCCGTGTCGGATACCTCCTGTGCAGGCTGCGTTTGGTCATCCACCGATTCCTCGTCTTGCTCTTCAATGGATTCCAACGCAGCAGCCTCGATCCTCGCCTTCTTTGCCTCGATGAAAGCGCCAACAGTGCCCTTGACTCGCTTAGGTTGGTCTTCTGGGACAGCCCTTGACGCCAAGGCTTTGACTGTTGAGCTCGAGGAGGCTTGTTCAACAGTATCCGGCTCACCCTCTCGGGTGGCTGCAGGCTGGGCCTCTCCCGCTCTTGCGTAGATCACCTTGTTCGTGTTGGTGTCCACACATGACAGGATATATTGAGGGCCAACGACTGCACGGGTCAAGATCCCGCGGGTACTGTTCTCGAAGAAGACGAGGCCATCTCGGAGGGCTTCATGCAGGTTCACCGCAATCTGGAACGGCTGCGTCGACCTGAGTCCAGAAGTGTACTTCTCGTCCTTGAGGGTGGTAGGTGAGAAGTACGCATGGGCACGCCCGCCCTTTCTGCCGCCAGCAACCTTGATCCCGGATTTCAAAATCAACTCCACGCTCTTCGCATCCGTGCGGTGGTATATGACCTGTGGAGCGACATCCAAATTCTCATCGGTGAGAAACCTCCGGGCAAGGAACTCGTCTGACTCGATGCGCATCACTTTCTCCGAGTGGCCGGTGACTGCTCTGATCCGCACAGGAAAGAGGGAGAGATTCAGGCTGCTGCTGATCTCGTGTCGGATCCCAAGAATCTCGAACCTCCTCTTTTTGTCCTGCGCGGTCACCTGCAGTAGCTGTCTTACGCCCCATTTTCGACGAGTTGCTTCATTGAAGCGGTCCAGGAGCTTATCGACATCCGTCCACATGGCGATGTCGAAGTCCAGCCCATACCAGTCATTCTGGTGTCCCCTCAAGAGCAAGCTGAGCAGCTTGAGGTCGCCGTGCCTGAAGTTCACCCGCTGTTCATACTTGCGGAGATCGGCACTTGGCAGAGGCTCAAGGTCGTGGAGCTCCCCGTTGTACCAGTAACCGGTCATCGGGAGGTCCTGCTCCTGGCTTTCCTCTCCACCATGGGTTTTGGACGCGTCCTGGTACATCTCGCGGGCGTAGACATCCTCGCTTTGCCCCGACGACTTACCCTTTCGGGTAGCTGCGCTTGTTGCCCGGCCGTCTGACGCCAGGGGAGGTCGGTAATCCCCATCATCGGCGAGCACGACCTCGTTCAGGGGAAGGTACTCAGCCTTCTCTGACTCGGCCTGGACGACCTCACCCTTGACCTCATCGATCTCCGATACGTCCGAAACCACAGGGTATTCCACCTCGGATCGGGCGATCGTCTTGTCTTGCTGAGCGGGTGCGGCAACTGGTTCATGCGCAGTGTTAGCGTCGGGGACCTCCCACCAGGTGTCTTCCTTGCTGATCTTCACGGGCACAGGCGCCTTGATCTTGTGGACCTTCAGGTCTTTTCTGCCACTTTCAACCACCTCCTTGTAGAGGCGTAGGGCTTCACGACCTGCTGCACTGTCCATCCTGTAGCCGCCTTCCACCTCGACGTAGGGGAAAAGATCTCCTAGTCGATCCAGAACATCTGCATACCGTGACGCTTCCCTTTCTAGGTCGCCAAGGAGCGCCGTGGTGTAGATGTAGTCTTGGATCTGCTTGCGGTTTTCGGGGGTATCCCAAAGATGAAAATCATCGTAATAGGACAGCTTCATTGCCTGGGATGTGGCGTTCTGAACTTGCAATCCGCGACTCGTGAATTCATCAAACATCTTGGAGATGAATTCATTGTACGCGGGATGCAAGTTGTAGGTCTCGTGGTCAACGTTGCCGACGATGCGGACAAACCCGATATGCGGCTCACCCGCTAGGGTGGCTAGCGCGTCGGCGCAGCGCCTCACCTTCCTCGCAACATCTTCTGCCGAGGTCTGGGAGGTCGAATATGCCGCGCCCGGAGCGAGCCGCGTGGGGATGCATCCTCGTCGTCCAGCAACTTCATTTCCTGACCACCAAACGATCACATCGATCTCGCACTCCGACCCATACTTGGCACGGATTGCCTGGATCTCCTCCTGCACCTGCCAAGTGAGCCACGAAAGCGTTTTTCCCCAGCACATGTGGAGTTTATCGCTCGTGTACCTGAGGGTCAGTGCTGCCATGAAGATCTCCTCTTCGGGAATGGAGAATTTCCATTGCCCCTTGGTGTTCTGTCGCCCAAGGGATGTGACTGAGTCCGTCACCACTAGCAGAAAGCGACTTCGGCGCAACCTTTCGGTTGGCTGGAGCTTGCTGAGACCCTCGTTCGAGATGCGAGCCAGCTTAAGCAGATTCGGCGTTGGAATCTCGGGGTCATTGAGGCTGAGGCTGGCGATGGTCTGTGGGGGGAAGACCTCATAGGACTTGAGGAGCGCGTCATACTCCTTCCCCGCCTGGAGCTGCAAGTACTCCACGCTCAGTCCGGCGTTGACGAGCATGTTGAGATGTCCTTGCAGTGCCAAAGGTCGGCCCTCCATGCCAGTATCGCAAGAGTAGCCCGCACCATGGGCGACCAAACGCGACATTGTTCCTAGTGCCTCAATACTGCTGACCACTTGGAGAGAGCCAGCTAGCACAGAGAGAGTCGGTACAGCAGGCTCAACCGAAGCACTTGTGCACGTGGTGTATGTTTGTGCGTTCCCGATCGATGCGCGCAAAACCGACGCGACCGTTTCGGGAGTGGTTTTGGGACTTTTACCCCCCTCATCGTGAGGGGATGCACATGAACAAACGCACGCATGTTTCAACTGAGCCCGGGGCGTCCTAAAATCAGTGTCTTGTAGGAGTTGCTTGTCATCGTCACCCAGCTTTGTCCACCCCCCTGATGAGTAGGCAATGAGAGAATGCCTGTTTCCTGTAAAGGGTTGGACAGCATGTCGAAGGTGAGGGTTTAGGAGCACGGGTTTTCGACAAGTTTGAAGGTTACGGCCAAACCAGGTCTTACCGTCTTTGTCAGTGAAAGCGTCCATTCTTTGGTCGGGATCCTCCACCCAGAGCTCGCCCCCCTGATAGGGACCGAAGCCGAAGGACCAGTTTTGGCTGCCTCTGAGATTAAACTTGTCGCTGTGAACGCCAGCCCTGCCCATAAAATTGATGACAAACGAAGTCCAGGTAAAATGCTTTGGAGCGTGCTTGCGGATGAAACCATTTATGTAGCGGCACAGTTGGGACATTTGGCCAGTACGCTTTGTTAGGCCGAAGCACCCACCATGTGTCCACAGCCCAAACACGAAGTATTTGGGAGCCAACTCGGTGCCGGAACGAACAACACTGCGAAGTCTTGAGCTCGACATACGAAGGTTGTCGTACATCATTTCGGCGACCTGCTCGAAATCTTCGAAATCATAGCGATCAGCTCGGCGAAGCAGTTTTGCAACGTGTTCCAGTTGCTCTGTGGTAATGCACACCGACTTCGGAGCAGCGGGAACAGATTTCGACACGGAATTTCTTCCGGCTTGAGGGTCGACCGACTTGTAGGTGTGAGCAATGAGCTTCAACGCATGTATCCATTTTGTTCGCTCCGTAAAAGGCTTTGTGAACACATCTGCAACTTGCTCGCTGGTGTCAACATTGAGGAGGCGAAAATGTCCTTCTTCATATT